CTGTAATTACTAATGGCTTGGCATGACAGTCCCGACAGTAGGTTGAAATACTTTGTTCAAACGTCAACTAAATCTTAGCGTATGTCATATATTGAACTAAGGTGTTAAAGTATTTGTGCAAGTACTTGTCTTTGCAGGCTGCTGTTTTTTTAACGAAAGAATGCCATTTCATTACTTTGACATGTGCTGGGTATCTCAAAACTAACTTGTGACAGTTGGAATTCGAACTGCAAAGTGACAAACAGATCTCTGGGTGACATACCTCAGCGGGTTCCACAGATGTTTTGCGGATATGTGATGTGGAACAGTATGGAAACAAAGGTCAATTTATTTGATTTGATCATTTTCAAACTGGTAAAGAAAAAAAAGCAAGATTTGGGAATACCTGTCGAATCCTCGGGGTCATTGTAATGCTAACGTACACTGTGAAATGCTATAGACATGCTAATAAAAGTTGGCACTGATGTTCCAGTAATATGAACCTTCAAAAAACTGCTACTTTAACATACGGAGCAGCAACACATACAAGCAGCATACAACATTACGCACAGATATATATTCACTCTACTCTGAAGGAAAAACAACTATTACTGCAGCTTAACGCGGGACCTTCTTTGCTGCCTCTTTTTTTTTTTTTTAACTATGGCAAAGGCATTCAACACTAAACACGGCGGGGGTGGAAGGAGTACGGTTCCAGACCTGCTCCGTATGAAAAGGTTTGCATCAATAAAATAGATTTAAATTCAGACTTGCCTGTATACTATTATAATCCATAAAAATCTGTGTCTTGAATATCTGTGATAGAGCTGGAATGCAAAAAGCGTTTTAAAGCGGAGGATCACATGACTGTACATATTGATATCGTGTTATGATAATGTCCATTTGCAGTGCGATCGTTGTTGTTTCACGTCGCTGACTTGAATGCAGCTGTTGTCGGATCATTTCCCGCTGAATCGTCAGCACGCCACAGTTTCCCTGGATTTTTTTGACTTTCTTCCTCATCTCCAAATGGCTCCAGTTAAACTTGAAAACTTGGAGCATCCCCACCACCCACATGCCTCCACATGTCATTTCTGAAAGACTCTCACCAAGCCCGCCTGCCTGTTAGTCAACGCCTGACTCAAGTGTCCTGGGCGGAGCTTTTGAAACCCCATGAAGACCCCTGTTCAGTCCCATTGGCAAGTTATATTTACTTGGTGGCATGTTGCACGAATCCAACGGATGTGCGCATAGCTGAGATGGTGGCGTAAGATGTATGGGTTTGTTTATTTTTAAAACGCTCTCTCTCGACATATATACATATGCAAGGTAGCATGACATGTGAAGGATGAACCGCAATAGAGTGGGGCAACACGCTTAATGTCTGTTTGTGATGTATTGACGCTTGTAATGCAACTACGTTATGATCAGAATGTCTTCTTGGTTTCAGTGAAGAAATAGTCTGGCAATGGCACAAAGACAATTTCAAGAAAGCGGGAAGGATGGGCGCTCAGGTGAGACTCAGGGTGGGCTATTATCTCTCGCAGGAAACCTACACGCTACTTGCTTACTTTTCTTTTCGAGTTTTTTTTTTTTCCCAAACTGCGCACACAACAGACAGACAGGCGTTGTGATTCACTGTGAAACTCCCCTACTGAAATCACCTTTCATTGGAAGAGCATACAAAAATATCGATTGAATACCAGTAATTTAAAAAGAAAACTGACAACATCAACTACTGCCACCACTGAATATTGCCAATTGCATTGTTGCACTGAAGTGAGTGTTTTTGCATTTCGGTGAGAAAATTCACTGAGGAACTTCTTGGTGGCAGCGAGGCAACTTGTTTTTTTTCATTTTCACATCTTCAATGACTTTCTATTGTCCTCCTCTTTTACTTGACAGTTTTGGGAATGCTCACAGTGCAAGTGGAGAGGGACCCAAAGACAGGAGCCACAGTTGTTAAGTCTGTAGCACCCACGTCCACACCGGACAGTCGTCCCCCGGCCTCCGCCGTCTTTGACGACGGCAGGAAAAGCATCCATGCAGTGGGCGGGTCAGGCTGCAATCCCTCAACTGAAGAGCTCGGACAGATTTTGAGTGCCGTCGATGGCGTTGGGATGCAAGTGATGCTCGATGAGGTCACGGTCACGCTAGATGAAGCGGCTGATGCGGGAGCCAGCGGAGGTCCATTCAAACAAATCCAGGCGCCTGTCAATCAGTCTGCGGCCAAAGAGAACCGTATGCGCTTAGAAAGCCCCGGAAGGCCCAACTCGGAAGATAAAATGACAAGAGAGGTCAGTCGTTTGAGTGTGCGAGGAGAGGAGGATGCAAACGCCACGGTGGTTCGAGACACGGCGGGAAAAGAGGTCACCATGGAGGATCACGTTTTGGAGGAAAGCCCAATCACACTTTTGTTCCTGGGCTACGCTGATTCTACGACCGCCCAAGAAAACCCAGACATGCTCGTTGCAGAAAGAGTGATGATCGCAGATGACGGAGAAGAACCCCGTGTCGCAGATCGAGAGGCGGGAGAAAAGAGTGAAAGTGAAATGGATCAGGGCATTCCCCAGAAGGGAAAAGATCAAACATCTCAAGTCCGGGAAGATCATGCTAATCAGGAACCATCCTGCCCGCCGACTGTTGAAGAGCGAAAAGGCCCTTCCAAGCACAAGACCTGTCATTGTTGCTCTGTCATGTAAGACGTGATCTCATTTCATCCCGCGTATTTCCATATATTTTCTTACCTACCAAGTGGAACGCATCATTGAGGCCCTATTAACTCAATTGACACGCATTGGACTCTTCTGCCCATCTGTTCCCTGCATTTGACTCAGAGCGTTATAATGTTGCTAGCCTACAGTCAATGTGTGCGAGTAGCTTCATTATGCACGCTTACAAAAAAACAAAAACAAGGGCACTTCCTCCCCCTAGAGGAGAAAGGCAGCCAAGTCACCATGCGCCACACGGCTGCAAACTCCTCACTCAGCTCTGTCACCAAAGGAAAGAGGTGGAAGGAGGAGCGGGAAAAAAAAGACAAACAACAATAGTGTGGACTGAAAATATGTCCGTAACGGCACCTATTTATTATTTCAGGTTCAGGTCCCTTTATTGTGCCCACTTGTGAAGTTGACAGATAACACAAATGTCAAAGAAAGAAAAAAAAAAAGGAGAAAAAGAACAATTGCAATGATTTCCAATGAGAATTTCATCTGCTATTTCAGGGGTTATTCCTTCAACCGATACGTTTTGAATTGTATATTGTCTTATATGACATTGAGAACAAAATTACAAATATAATGTTCAGGCATCCGTTCGAATTTTTCCATCAAGGGGAAAGTCCAGACTGCAGTTTTTGGGAACAGACCGTCCACTGTTTGCCATTTCTAAGCACTTAAATCTGTCCAATACTTGGATGTCTGCAGTGTATCTGTGTCTCGAGCTTCTCGTGAAATATGTCCTGGCTCGTTGAGAGATTGTGCATAAGCGCATCTCGCATGACTCACATGATTAGAACATGAAGAAGAAGATCCCCCGCGTTATCATCTGGATCCTTCGCATTTCCCCCTGTGGGTGTCAGATGACTGCGACACTACAATCAGGTGAGTTTCCGTCAACACACAATAACTTGTACTTTACCTTTGTATACTTAGTCGTGCTATCCATATTTTAAATACCGGTCCATACAAAAAGTATATTGCTTCAGAATACCTACCCAAAAGTTTTATCACAGGGTGCTGACGCAGCGGGTTTAGCGCCATAAAAATGAAGTCTTAATGAAATAAGATCCATCGGATATAAGATGAGGAATGCAATAAACAAGTTAAGCTCATTTCATGCCCTGTTGCTGGAGTTGCTGTTGCTTGTGTTGCTAATCCTTGGCTACACCGTAGAAATAAAGCTCCTCAATGCAGGTGTAAATATAGACTCTTGGAATCCTCATCACTTTTCTCCCTTGACCGGACTGCCAGTTACAGCTTTACCACGACAAGTCAATGTGGTTGAGTGTTAAAAAAATAGGCGGTAGTTTCTGCAGTTGAAATCGAAAATGCTCCATGAGCCAAGTGACGAGATGAGAAGCAAGGGTTGGCAAGCTAGCGTTTGTGCCAGCACGAACAGTTTCTGTTTTTATTGGTAAAAAGAGCGGAGACACCAAAACACTTCATAAAAGACTCTTCTGCGCATACATATTTTTAACAAAAGATTGGGGACGCATGCAAGTAGCCATGACACCTACAGAATGCCAAAATGTCGGAAAAGACGAAACGGGTCAATTTCACAAAGTTTGTGAGCTCATATAGGATCTGGCTCATAATCGTCATTATGGTTCATCTCAGGGTTGCCTGATGGGGTGGAGGTCAGGGTTCTCACGTTCTTCCAAAGCAAATTCATCCCACCATGTCTTTATAGACCTCGCCTTTGGGTGCAATTGCTGCAGTTAGGAACAGGTGTTCAAGTATGCAATCCGTGATTCAAATTGTTTGAATACGGATCCAAAAGTTGAAACGGCAACACAAAATGTTCTTAAGGATCTATATTTTTAAATTGAACTCATCAAGGTGTTCACATTTCTCTTCCCGAAACCCAAGAAGAAGAAGAACCTTGAAAATTTCAAAAGCTCGTCACCATGGAAACAAATGTCTCAATACGAAGATCCCCGTCGCTGGCCCCTCAGGATGATAAAGACCCGCAGAAGATGGATTCCAAGCTCGTGGCGGAAAATACGGCAAGAGCAAACGGCAGCTCATTGAGGATTCCTGGTGAGGGGCCCCAAAGTGAGCCCACTTCCGCTCCCCTTACTGTGATTCAGAACGATGCGATCAACAATGAACGTGATCCAAGGTTTAGCCCACGACGACCTTCCCTTTCAAACATACGTCCGTGTAATTCCGGCGTGGCCCTTGTGTTTGAGGCAGGTGACGACACTGAGGCTGAAGCTAATCCCATCAGCTTACGCCGGCATCATAGTGAAAGGCAGTCAATGGTAACACAGAGGGCGACGGAGGAAGCGTCGGGCGCAACAGCACAGATTTCGGGGGAGTTGAAAGACCTTACTCCAAGTGCTGATGACCAAATACCCGAGGCTCCGTTAGGAGGAACAAAAGAACAAGAGCGGTCAAACGTGCAAGCGGAACCCTGGGAAGAAGCATATCAAGACACATTTCCAAACCCGGCACCTTCAGACGCGTTTGAAAATGAGGCACACCCGGACAAGGAACTACCACAAGGGGATTCAATTAAGCCTTTGGAGGCCTCAAAAGGCAATGGAGTGACCCTCATCCAACACTGCAACATTGCGACAGAATTCGACACCAACACGGAAAACATGACTGCTCGAGCACTCGGAGATCCAAAGGCCATGGGACAAAAAGAAACCCCCAAAAATGTTGACCACTTTGACAGCGACTCAAAAGATTCCTTGGGAGAAAGAGAGAAAGGCACTTGTGAGGTACAAATTCTCAAGAAGGCCTTTGCAAAAGTGCATTTCACTCCAACCGACGAGAAACCGAATGAGTTGGGGAAGGCAAAACGCAGAGATGAATTTTGGAGAATCGCTTCCGATATTCTCCAAGGCGAGCGCCTACTTCAGCGTCTGCAACGGGTGCAGCAACGACAGGAGGCGGATGTGAGCGCCTGCCAAGAAACGAGTCATGAGGGGGAACGTGAGGAGAAGTTTCTCACTGAAAATTTGGGAGCAAGTGAAAGGGACCGGTCGGCTGAAGATGTGCCAGAAGACATCGGATTTCAAACCGTCAACTCTGACGCGACAAAGACAAGCCTGTCGGAGGGTGAAAAGATGCAAGGGAATGGGAGTGGAGAAGCCCAAGAAAAGATGTCTCCTGAGTGCGAGCACCATGAAAATGCCACAAGAGAAGGAGAAGGAGAAGGAGAGCGCTCTACCGATCCCCCAAGTGTTATACCGACCCCCGGTTCAACGACCCTTCGCTCCTCCTGTCACCGTTTGTCTGTCACGGAGACCTCGGCGGAAAGGCGACTGCACGACGATGTCCGAGGGAAACAGAACTTGCAGAGGGCCGCGGGGATTCTAAACCTGACAGATGATCCCGATGTACTGGAAATCCCTTTTAAAACCGACATCGTGTTGGAGCCACTTCCCACAAAAATGCGTGCAGGCGGCGAACCGCAGTTGGCCGGGCTGAAGGTGTCGCAGCCGGAGATAAGGCACGAGAGTCCGAGACCACCTGCGACAACCGCACAGGGGGGCGTGCCAAAAGAGCACCGTGGAAGGGAAGCCCATCAATTAAAAAAGACAAAATTGCTGTTTGAAGCTTTCCAACAAGAGAAGCCTCAAGGGCCAACCCGGTTAAGGAAAGCTCTCGCTACATCGATGACAGACCAAGCTTCTCCCAGCGTGCTGGAACGCACGCAAAGCCTGGATATGTTGTCAACGTCGGAGGGGAAGAAAGGTTCCGAAAAGCCGCACCCAAAGATTCCGAGCGGGGGATCTCGAGAGAGGACGCGATTATCTCCATACGCAAAACAGGCTAAAAATGGAGGTCTTTGGCGGAGTTCAGACTCCATCAACTCGGACGTCACCACGCAAGTGGTAGAAATTGACGGCTCGGTGGGGATGCGCAAGCTCAACCAAAACCCTTTCTTCAACTTGCGTCCAGCGTTGGCCTTGAAGCCGGAGGTGGAGGAGGACATCCGGGAAGCCGAAGCAAGAGAAGACGAGCTTCGGAGGCAAAGAAGCACTTTGTACGGAGAGAAGCAACAGCGTACGGAGGAAGGTGGCCAGCCGCCCTGCACATCGACCGTCATTCCGGGTGAGTTTGTAGCGCGGGGAAGCCAGACTCATTTCCATGGCAAGCCACTTTGGAGTCATGGTTTCCTTGATTACGGCGGCTGATAAGAATTCAGAGAAAGAATTCTATTTGTCAAATGGTATTACGTAATTGTCTCTGTTACGGTAAAAAAATATTCCCAATAGGGGTTGTGAGAGGTACAAGGAAGGCAAAATGATTTGGTATGTTCTTGATCTTCAGCAAAGTCTCTAATCTTCTAAATTATTTTTCCGTCCGCCAAAGTTCTTGGATTGTTGTAATGGCAATGATGGATTTTTATTGATATGGAAGCCGATTATCTGCGATTGTGTCACTTGGATGTTTATTTCTGAGCACATCTTGACCTTCTTACCCCGTCTGGAACTTAGATGTGACCTGACCTTCTCCGTTACCATCCCAGTGTGTTATTTCCGGAACGGGATCAGTCGCTCGTGCTGCACCTGTCGCAAGCACTTCGACAATGGAACTCTCGCAGTGGTTCTCATTCAGACGAGAGCAAGACGGCATCTCGACTCATTAACGCGCGTTACAGTGCCGTCGAACCTCATGTCGGTGTACCCCGTTGCCAACGTTTTCACCGCAATACCATTTCAAAGTCCCGATTTCACATCAGTCCTTTTCCATATCTATAAATGTTCAGACTGTAGTATACATCGTAGTTTTAATGCAAATGGTTCCCCTCGAGGTACGTCGCAACGAGGTTCGGCTGTATTCGTTTCGCTTTTGCGTTGATACCTTCACGCTTTGCTCAGCAATGAATACAGTAAGAGTGTTTAGAGTTCATCCGCATGATTTCAGTGTGCGTTCCTGTTGCAGGAGTGGCCAGCGGGAGAGCTCAGAGACGCAGCAGAACTGTACAGACAGTCCAGGAGTGTGTCGGTTGTATTTTTAGCTTCTAAGGCAATTAAAATGTTCGAGCGAGTTCCACGTGACAGTAATGCAATCTGTCTGGGACTTTGATACAATGAAACAAAAGGGGACTAAGCTGCACTTTGTGTGATCGTTCAACATTAAAGAGCATGTTTGCTGAAATCCCTCGGAGTTCCACTTGTGTCTTTTGGATTTTGCCGAGCTCTGGCCTTTACAATGACTGTACTAATTCAACAAATAGCGAGTCGACTTGGATCCCCGAAATATAAAGAGCAAAGAGAAAGAAAAATTTCAACCTTGAGAAGCAATGAAGTGGTTGCTTGAGTGAGTGTTTAAAAACAACCCAGCAA